CAAGCTGGACTCATAAGATACTAAAACTTTTACTTTGAGCAGCCCCTGGGCTTACTGCAAACATCAAAAGCAGTAAAAGGCATAAACTTTGATTTTCTATTTTGAAAAGACCAATTATTTTGTGACTAAGGAAAACAAGCAATTATTTTGCAGGGTTGGTTTTTGGCACAAAGGAGATGAATGATTTGCTCGATAGAGATCAAGAACCAGGTATTCCAGTTCTAGCCAGACCCCTCATAACGAGAGATGGGCACAAACCACTGAGCAGGTGGTTCGTGCTGGTTCGTGTTTCAGACGACTAAGTGTTTGGCTCTTCCCAGCCCTGCCCAGGGGAAGCAGGGCAGCCGGGGCAGTCTGTGCCCATCTGTACGCATAACGATGTAAAAGCTGTGTCTGAAAGCATTCCACGCAGGAAGTATGGACAGAGTCCTGGTTGATCCATGTCAAGAACTACAGGATGGTTTAGAGCTGCCTCTCTTCGGTGTTTAAGGCTAAAACATGCATCAGCCACAACCACACTGCCAATGGGGAAGTATGACAGCAGTTGCCATCCAAAGCATGTGGTGGGTGCCAGGTTGAGGAAAGCTGTAACTCGACTGCTGCCAAGGCTTACACAGTTTCCGTTAGGCAAGGATTAACTGACAACAGGTTTCCAGCCTCTGAAAGAACTCTCTTAGAAACCAGGGGTGGGGAAAAAGTGGATTGTTTGCTATTATTATATTGGAACTCCCAGCATTCTCCAACATTGGCTATTGCTCACTATTGTTGCACTCCGACACCATCTAGAGCAACGGTTCCCAACTTTGGGTCCCCAGATGTTCTCAGACTACAACTCCCAGAAATCCTGCCCAGCACAGCTAGTGTGGAAGGCTTCTGGGAGTTTTAGTTGAAGAACAATTAGGGACTCGCGGTTGGGCTTGAGACCTGCACTTTGCCCACCCTATTTCCATCTTTTTTTAGAACATCTGGTAACAAAGACGTCTACAGGTCAGAAATGGGCATATCTCAACCTTTTGAGGTCTACCTTGTTTTATGGTAGAACCCAAAGCCCAGCAATCTAACTGAGCCAGTGGCAGCAAATGGGAGACACTAAATGCAACATCCAGTTAAGTGTGGGGAGCCATTTATCTATTGCTAGGAAAAGGAACCTATTCATGAAGCACTACTTCCATCATCCTGCAGTACTAGTCAGGTTGGCAAAGGCTGATGGGAAATGGAATCACTTGATGTCTAGAGGGCTGGATCGTCCCCAGCCCTTATCTGCCGCAACAAGAGAAGCACACAGGGCAGGATGACTTGTACATCTATCCACATCTGAGTTAATGAGGATCAGGGATTGTAACACGACTCTAAAACTGATCAGCAGAACGGTGATAAAAGACAACTCCTTGACAGGTGAAGAGCACTGAGCAAGGGAGATAAATTAGAGCCATAAGACCAGCCACAACAGGAAGTCCTTAAGATTTTTTTTCTCCTGCATTCCAACTTATTCTGATTAAAGGACTAGGAATGGACAATAGAGATGCACACAAACTGGAAAACTGGTAGTTCGTGATGGTTCGTAGGTAGCCATGAACCATCACGGATGCCCTGAAAAATGAGCTGGTTCGTGGTTCATTTGTCAGAGTCACGCTGAGGGGCCAACCTCCTGTCCCCTTCCACTGATACTTCCACCTATGCTGCTGCCACCATCCTCAGGGACAGCAGGTCAGTTTCTCTTCCAGGAGCTGGGCCCACGGCTTCTGTGCATGCACCCTCCTCTCAGCTGAAAGCGGGCTCATGCGCAGAGGCACTGGGCCCGGGGAAGCCAGCCTGTCACCTCTGACAATGACGGCCGTGGCCGAGGCAGCAAGACCAGGCAGGGAGCTGAGAGGGGCAGTCGATGGGGGGGGCATCTGTTTTGGCGAAGCAAAAGGAAGTAACGGGGGGGAGGGAGTTTGGTGCTTTGTTCTGCTTCAACAAACTGGGGTCACGGACCAAACTGTGAACCAGACCAATTCGTCAGTTTTTCTGGTTCCTGGTTCGGTTTGTGCCCATCTCTAATGAACAGCCTTTGCAAACCATACTGCAAATGACAAGAGATAAACAAGCAGGTCCTGACATATCTTTTTGCTTCATTCTGGAACGGTTGCCAATTGGTTTCAATGAAAGGATCAAGTTTTAAAGCAGGGGCGGGCAAATGCTGCAGCCCTCCAAATGCTGTTGGACTTCAGTCCACACCGCCAGCTGCACTGGTTGAGGCTGATGAGAGCTGCAGTCCGAAAATACCAAAAGACCACACTTTGTCCACCTCTGTTCTAACATTGACAGAGATGAGGATTTTTCCCCCCGTCCTACCATCTACCACCATCCAGACTCTACAAAAGGTTCATTTCAGAAACCTCTTTTCTCAGTCTTACTTTTTCCTCCCCTACAAAGGAGGCCCAATCTGTATTTACAACCCTTTAAAGCTCAAATCAGCTTCCATTCAGCCTAATTTTCTCTGAGAAGACAGGGTGCTCCAGTCACCTCACCGCCTTTCCGACAGCCCTTACTGGCTGAGCGGTTTCATCCATGCAATCTACACCGAAGTTTGGAAAGGTTTCCTTTTTTTAAAAAAATAAAACTCCAAAATCTCTCAGGGGGCAAGCTTGAGCTGGTGGTGAGATTCTGGGAGCTGAAGCCCCCCCCCCTCCAAAACACAGACACACACAAAACCCATCTTTGACCCATAAATACCCTCGATACTGTAGATAATGATCTCTCTCTCTCTCTTTCTCTCTCTCTTCCAAAATACACACACACACACATAAAACCCATCTTTGACCCATAAATACCCTTGATACTGTAGATAATGATCTCTCTCTCACACACACACACAAAGTCTGTGTGTCCTTTCTGTACATTTTACCATCAGATCATATAAAAATGGTCAAGGGCAGGGCAGGCAGATCAGATGATGAGGAGATGACTAAGCTCTGAGCCATTCTGCTGCTTCCCTTGCAGTTCTATTTTTACTCCCACAGGGCATGCCAATCTGAACTTTTCAGACCCTTCAGAACTTCCTTTTCAGCAAAATTCAGCTCTACCAAGATTTCCATACTCCCCAAAGAGTACAGATTCATCCCCAAGAAATAAATACCGAGCCGGCTGGCCTCTGATCAAGGATGGAGGAAGAGATGGGACTTGGATTGCAACACACAGAATCTGCCAGGAGGCAGAATCCTGGAAGCTGAAATCCAAAGACAGTCGTGTAAGGAGGAGATTTCTTCACCCCTCTGTGGGCTCCACCCGATTGGATCTTCGAGAAAGAAAAAATGGGGGTGCCTCGGAGTGGTGCAAGAGTTCATCGGAGCCTCAAGGGAGAATGGGAGAGGAAGGTCATGGAGAAGCTCCCTTGAGACTCCCAGGAATTCTTTGCACCAGTCCCAGCACTGATTGAGAGCAGTTTCCTTCCTTTGGAAAGGCCAGTATTCATGGTGATAAAGGGCCACACGGAGGCGAGAAAACTTTCCTCTACTGTTTTCAGGCTTTAACTGCCAGAATTCTGGCTATTGGGATTTCTGGATTACTCTGGGAACTGCAGTCTGAAAGAAACAGAAATCCCTTGCTTACTGCTATCTGGTCTGCTATCTCAGACTCTGAATGTCTTGGGCAGCAGACCTCCATAACCAAAATCAGATATCTCCCTTACCCTAACCTAAGTTAAGAGAGCAGATGCATTTCCTAGTCCAAAACTGGCACGACAGGAGTGTTAGTTCAAGAACTCCTTGCTCCTTTAGCACAAAACCTAACTAAAGTATCTTAATTACTCCCACTTCTATGGCTACTATAAGGTGACGATCAGAGCACCTGCATTGCTGGCAGCAGGTCCCAGGTTCAATTCCGTCGATTGCCGATTAATATAATCTCTAGTAGATGGTGATTAAGAGGTAGCAAGTGAGGCAAATGACTTCTTGTCGCCAGACACTCCTGACAACCTCTGCCAATGGAGGTGGGTAGAAGTAGTTTTTGCAAGCCAGAGAAGTTTCTATCCAGAGGCGCTCACAGCACTCCCAATACAAAGACATCAGGCATCGAATCTATCCTGTCCTCCATAAAAGATTTTCTGTGGTAAGAAAAAAAAGCTATTCGGAGAATACTGGAGAACACACAAACAGATGATGATGACAGTGGCTACACTGGCACGAAGCCCATTCGAATCAGTGGAGATTTGATGAGTCAGCTCCCCACTCAGTTCCACTGATTCAAATGGCTCTACTCTAATTGCAACTTAATATGCTAAACTAAGTCAGTTAGAGTAGGCCCATTTGAATCATTGAAACCAGAGAGGAATTGATTTACCAAATCCCTATTGATTCAGTGGGCCTACTCTAGTAATTCACTAGATTAAGCAACAAGTTTTTGACCACAGTCTTAATGTCCCATAAAAAAATATCTGCGAACAAAGCAAAAGTCCTCTTCGCTAAAAGCCTCATCTAGAAGCACCCAAATATTCTGATCTCACAAAGCTTTGTCGTACACTATAACCCTCTAGTTAAAAAGGAATTGAAGACTTCATCAACGCACACATCTCATGCAACATTAGATTTGAAGCCATTATCTAAAACAAGCAAGAAAGAGAAAATAAAGATACACATTAGGAAAATTACCTTTGGTGAATTACAATTTCCAGAATCCCCCATATCTGCTGGCGAATTCTGAAAATTTGGAGTTCCCCCAAAAAATCATTTTGAAATAAAGCATAACTGCAAAGAAAGACCAAATGCAGCCCACAATCTGGCCAACCTCATTCTCTTCAGATCATTTCAAGCCCTTACTTATGACCACATAGGAAAGGGGGGAGGGGGGAGAAAGAAAACTTAGGAATATTACTTCTGGATGTGTACAGCTTGCAGAAATAAAATAGGATGACTTCTGGGCCCCACCGGCTCGAAAAGTTAACTTTCCCAAGCTCTTAGAAAAACAGAACCTCAGCAGACCCTCCTGCACCTCTGCATCCACTTCCCACCTCTTCTTACCTTGAGCTTCTCAAAGCGATCGCTCAGCGATGCCACCTGGTGATCCCGGTGCCTCCCCACCAGTTTGCATAAGGCACAGATGAGCTGGTCATCAGCCACACAGTACATGTTCACCTTCTCGTTTTCGTGCTCAAGGCACGTCAGCCCCCGGAAGTGGGCATCTGGCACGGGCTCCACCAACCGGTGGCTGGTGAAAGGTTTCTTGTTGGGGTGCGTGGCCCGCAGGCAGCGGTCGCAATAGGAGACCTCGCAGGTGATGCAAGTCTTGACGGCGTCGCGGGGCGGGTCCTGCTCGCAGAACTGGCAGGCGATTCGGTCTCCCGCCGTCGACATGGTGGGGCTCTGACGGTAGGGCGGCCGCTTGCGGCAGTTCTCGCCAGGGGAGTTGGGCCCACTCAGGGAAGCCTTCTGGAAGCGGTCGATGATGTTCTGCAACGTCACATTGCGCTTGAGGCCCTCCAGGCCCCGATGGTTGAGGGAGATGACATATCGGCAGGTGGGGCACTGGAAGGCAGGAAGAGGCTCTAAGGACTCGCTGGAAGAGCAGCTGGAGACGAGGATCCGGTGCGCGCAGCTGAAGCAGAGGCTGTGAGCACAGGGCAGGAGGAGGGGGTCTTCAAACAACTCTAAACAGATTGGACAAGTCAGTTCAGACTCCAATGTTTCCATCTTTAGTTGAAAGAAGCTGGCTTCGGCATTAAGAAGGAGGGAGAGAGCTCAGCCACCTACAAAAGAACATCCGAGAAAGAATCATCTGAAGGTGCTCCGAGAGGCATTGCTAGCATCTCAACAACAGCCCCGGATGGAGAAAGATTAACATAACACTGCCCAGCAAGCCTCATAGCTGAGCATCGTCTGAACCAGCATTTCCCCAAACTAAGCCAGGAGGTGATCCTATGAAATGGAGGACAGGGTGCCTGTTGCTTTACTAAGCACACAGATGAGGACATTTCAGTAGGTATAGCTTGTCATGCAAGTTACGCCCACTGAGACTATTTATTTATCTGTATTTCTACAAACGTATGTTTAAATATATAAACGGCCTCTTGTAAACAACTGTTAAACATAACAAGGGCCCTGTCCTCCATTTCACGCAGCCCTCTACCCCCAATGCCCATGAAAACATGCAACTGGCCATCTATAAACTTTTCAGCTATGTGGACACGTACAGATAAATATAGCTGAGACTCAAAGATCTCAACAGAGCTTTGGGGGAGGGGAATATTTTTGTTGGGTTTTGTTTTTTTTAACTACAACTGCTAGAATTTCCCACCAGCAATGCTAGCTGGGAGATTCTAGCAGCTGCAGTCCAACACCGAAAGCCAACTGCTTATCTAAACTACAGTACACTCACTGAAGCAACAGAGCAATGGAATTTATATACAGTCATGTGAAAAGGAAAGTACACTCTCTTTGAATTTTATGGTTTTACATATCAAGAATAGTAAAAACCATCTGGTCCTTAGCAGGTCTTGAAAATTAGCTAAACACAACCTCAGATGAATAACAACATATGACGTAACGCACTGTGTTGTGGTTTATTTAACAAAAATAAAGCCAAAATGCAGAAGCCATGGGTGAAAAACTAAATACACCTTATGATTCAACCACCCTTGGGAAAACCATTTTCTGTATGACTTTATCAGTCTCTCACATCATTGTGGAGGGAGCTGATCCAAGATGAAGGCAAAAGAGGCATGCAGAACTCAAGGTCCAAAGAGATGGGATACAGAAATCTGACCCCTGGAAGGGACCACCTCTCAATGGCGTGGTTAAATGGCACAGTGTACACCTTGCAGGAGAAAAATCCTAGGTTCAATCCCCACCATCTTCAGGCAATGGAAAGAAAGATTGCTGCCTAAAAATCCAGTAAAACTGCTCCCAGATGATACAGGTCTGCTAGTATCACTGTGAGCCTCCAGATAAAGCCTACAAGCAGCGTTAAACTCCACAGACCAGCATAGCTAATGGGAATTATAATCTAAAAATATCTGAAGAACAACCTGTTGTCACTGCTATGCTAGATGGACCAGTATCACATTGTGATAGATTCATATATGGATAGGCAGATAGAGACCACTCTTCCAACCTCCCACTCAAAAGCAGTCCTGTTTCTCACGGGGGGGTTGCATCTTCCTGTGATCCAGGTTAACTTTTTACCATGCGCTTGGATTCCACACCAATAAGAGAAATCTACAAGCCAATCCAAACTGTACTTTTATGCAGTCAGTTGAAGAGGTGGTTCGATCGTCTGTTCCCAGACTGTCACAATATTATATATTCCGACAAGAACAAAAAAAAAAGACATGCAATCAAGGATAATCAGGGACATCAAGAAAACAGGAATAGAATTGGGAAGCTCTTCAAATCACCCATCGCACAGCACAGCAGGATAATGCTTGTCCCTCAGCTGAGACAAGAGTGTGATGAATATGTTCAAACAGAAGAATTCGGAGGGCGGGATAGGAGGAGAGAGAAAAATCACAGAAAGCAGCAACAAAGCTGTTTCTCTGGCTGAGGAAGGAAGACAAGACAGCAGAGTAAGGAGCTACACAAAGACATGGGGATGATTTTCTCCGTTTTCCTCATTTTTGGTAGGATTTATGGGCCAAGCTAGGCTGCTTTTCCAAGAAGAGTTTGGGGGGGGCAACAAGCAAGACAGAGACGTGGAAGATAAAATACTGTGTTCACTGATTTTGATTTATGTCGCATCAGGGAGTTCGTTAATATGTTCAGCCCAGTACTACCAACTTTCACGAGCTGTAGCTTTCCAGAGTCCAGGGCAGAGGACCTTCAAAAGCACCTGCTGCCTCATCTTTTAAGCGGAAATAACAGAGACTGAAGTGAATTGGTCCATTTGCATGCAAAGCAAGTATCCCACTATTTATTCATTTTATGTGTGTTATTTTAGTAAAATATTTATACCCTGCCCTATATGCGGAGATCTCTGGTCATGGTACAGAGGATAAAAGCAACTAAAAAAACTACTGAAAGCATGACAGAACAAAGCAAAAGGCAAAACCCATAATCTAACAGAGATCAAACCCCAGTTGCGAGAATCCAAATATTGTTTTCTGAATGCCCGGTAGTCCAAGAATAAAATATTCCTTTTTCTTGGATAACAACAACTGGAATTCCTCAGCCAGCCAGCCAGCATGGTCCGGGGAGATTCTGAGAGATGTTGTCCGAAAACAGAACATTTCCAAGCTCTGGAAGGGATGGCGCTTCTCCAAGTCTCCATGGGTGCCCTCCCTCGGTTAGCTATCTGAACAGCACCATCGCACAACTAAGAAGAAGGAAGGCAGAATAGCTACATGAAGTCCTTTCCTCTAAAGCGCCACGTACCTTCTAGCTGGAAGAATCTTATATTTACCAGTTCCACTTATATCCTGCCCTTCCTGCAATGATCTCAAGGCACCCTACATGCGTTTTATTGTCCCCATTTTATCTTCCAAACAACTCTGTGAGGTCGGGCTGAAAGAGGACTAGCCCAAGGTCATTCAGGAAGGCTTATTGCCCACATTTGAACCTGCACTTTTTAAGTTCCAGACCATCCCTCCAACCCACTTGGACTACAGCTCCCAGCAGAGCTAGTGATCCAATCCAATGGTTCCTTGGACTACAGCTCCCAGCAGAGCTAGTGGCAAAGACATCTTCCCGATTGATACCTCTGATACAGAGAGACAGTAGTTGTGTGGGGGTAGAGTCAGAGAGAAGATCTTGTACACTATGAGCCAAAAGGCAAATGATATTAGAGTACTCCCACGCAGAGACATGCTTGCTGATGGGAAGCACCTATTTATCTACCTACACTCAACCATCTCTGCTAGTCTAACTAGTCCCACAACCTTGTACCTCCCCCAACTTCTTTCTTTTCCAAGAACCACTTACCGTCCTTCAAGCCAAGGGCAAGATTGCGCAATCAAGACTGCAGGAAGCCATCAGCTGAGCACACCCTTAGCCCTGCTTGAACCGGAACGTGCTGAACTGGGTCCAGCCTTCCAGGTGTTCCAGAGAACAGCTTTCACAAGCTCATATTAGCTCGGAGGTTATGAGTTTGTTTAAACGTTTATAGCCCGTCCCGTATCACGGGATCTTAGGGTGGGTAACAGAGCTGCATAAAATGTCCAAAGGTTCCAAAGGTTCTCCCTCCTTGCCTCAAGGGGTGGTTCAGACACTTGCCAATGACAAAACTGGCTAATTTGTGGCAAAGAGACACTGTTCCACTACAGAAATAAGCAGCCCTGGTAGGTGGCATTTCTCTGTGGAGGGTGGATATTCCCTCTCAGGAACCTATAAATCCAATAGGTTGATCCAATCAAAACCTACAAACACAGAATCAGGATCCTGTGGTTCTAAATATGTTCTTCAGTTTCAATTCCCATCATTCCCAGACAACATGGCCTATTATCTGAGATGCCGAGAGATAAGAGTCCAACAGTATCTAAAGTGGCACCAGTTCTCCAACTCTGTTATCAGCACTTGGGTCTAAACAAGCAATGCTGAATTCACACCAAGCCTTACCCACAATGGAGAGAAATCAAAGCCCTTTTCTCTCCACCACAAAAATAATTTCAGCCTGATCTTTCTCCACAGGAGGCTGCTTTCCCAAATGCAAGGTTTCTAAATGTTTGCTTCTGTGCTGAGCAAAAACAGAAACTCTCCCTAAAGCCAGACTCGAGGGCAGGGAGAGCCTACTACCAGGGCTCACAGAGACCATAACTCTAAGAACATCCCAGATAGCAGTGGATTTTGGGAGCTGTACTTCAAAAAGTAATTTTTCCCAACACAGAATGAGGCTCAGTAACATCACACTAACTATGGTTTAGTATGACGTCCCACATGCAGCCAACGGAATATAAGCCTAAATCAAGCCGTGCTTGATAAACAAGCTTTATGTCAGGTGTCCCAATAGAGGGGGAAAAGTCTGACATTTCTTCCACAGCAAAGTGTGCATGTGACATAAGGCCCAGACACAACTCTGTTCTGGTTCACAGCCAAGCCTCTCCCTCAGGTGAGGATACATGAAAAACGTTGAGCTGAAGATAAAACTCCTCAGCCACACGCTGGCTTAAAGCCAATTCCAGAAAGAAATCTGGATGTACCGTATTCTTCTGTGTATAAGACTATACAGTACTTTTGTCTAAATCTTTAAGCTGAAAATTGAGGGTTGTCTTATACACGGAAGTAAGCTGAGGAAAGAACAAAAACAAGTGGAGGGGAAAGCAGGGATCAAAGCGATCCTGCAGTGCTTTGATCCCTTTCCCCCTACACTTGCTAAGCCCCATTTATTTTTCTTAATTTTGGATTAGAAAAACAGGGGGGTGTCTTATACATGGGGCCATCTTATACACAGAAAGATACAGTACTTTTACAGCCCAGTTTTGTGGCTCTGATACTAGAAAAAAAGTTTGTTTGTTTTTGTAATAAAGACAACTAAAACCCCAAATTTACCCCTCTGTGAATCTTGCTTCATCCAGTACCTATACTGATGCATGGTACTATGGTTAAGGACCCCATCCACTCATTCATCCTAGATATATACAATCCAGCATGAAACTGGCTAAAATTTCAAATCTTCAGCAAGGACCCAGTGGGTTGTCCCACTGCCCTCACGGTTAATGAGAATGGTAAGAGAGCCCCTTCTCTATTGCAGCACCTCAGCCATGGAACTACTGCGTACAATTTGGCCATCAGGCTGCCTTCAACCCTGATGACTTTTCAG